CAGAACCAGATGACTGTGGAATCTAGCAAGATAAACTCATAGGAGACAACTGAAGTTGGTTTGACAAATATACCTTCCAACATGTTTGTCAAACACGCCGTCAATTTAGGTTTCCATCAAACATGTAATATTAATTGACAAACGCATCAAACGCGACTGCAAACGATCAAAAAGTTTGCCAAGCACATAAACACATAACATTTGACCAAGATATTTGATCGTTTAAGGGCCGGATAACGCACCTATCCTATCGTACAAAAAAAATTATAGGAAGTGTCATTGCTGCACTGTGTACTGTATACTACCATGGAAAAAATGTGTAATATGGTAATTTTCAGGTAAATTTTTTGTACTCAATTTTGGTGACAATTTTTACCTACCATAACCTTTCCAAAAACAATCTTATTTCAATATAAGCTTAAAGTAAGCTTATTACATCGAGTATATAACCAGAAATAGAGACGAAATAAGGGCCATATATTCCTGGTAACACATTAGCGATACAGCTCTTATAAATATCAACTCCCGTTTGCATTGAAATATAGACAGGCCAACTACTGACCTGTGTGTACGTCTCCGAATATTCCAAAAAAATTCTACATTTATTGTAATAAAGATAATATCTCTAACAATGCCGTGCTGTTCTATTTGGTGGTGTGGGAAAAACCGCAAAACATCTAATTACAAAACAAACGGAATCACATTTCATCGGTAATTAAATATTAAATATGTAATTTTGCAATTTTCGCCCATTATAGCAAAGCTCCAGAAAACTGGTCGATTTGAAGTGAAACAGTTGACGACACCCGTCAATTGTTTCGAACTCGGGCTAGTCAATTGGAGCGCAGCTGTCACAGTAATGATATGGCAGAATAATTTTCAAACAAATTAAATGACATTTCGTCTATTTCTGGTTATATACTCGATGGCTTATTAGTTTACTCTGATATACTCAGTAGTATAGTATACTCTGAGTTTATTAGTATAATATTACTCTTAGGGTCATATTCTAGAACTCTACTTAATGCTCAAGTCAGGACTTGAGCATGATTCAAAGCACTAGAAATCATACTCAATTCCTTGCCATTAGGGTCGTATTTCCAGTGCTTGAAATCATACTCAAGTCTGCTCAAATCCTGACTTGAGCATTGAGTACAGTTCTGGAATACGATCCTCAGTCGTACCATGACGAACCTGTCAACCAAGTAATGTATTATTGGAAAAGTGATTGAAAGAACGAATGATTTCCCAATATTGCCTATTCCTTACTAAAAATAGGAAAGAGATAACGCTATGTGAACTATATAATGCCATCTCTTTCTTTTTTGATAATCCGAATCGTCTTATCGTAGTGTAATGTTTAAGTACTTAATGTTATTTACATTCAGAGGATTTTGACTGTTAAAAAAATATTGTTTATATGCAAGGACTTGAGTATGATTTTCAGGGTCGTATTCTAGAACTCTACTCAATGCTCAAGTCAGGACTTGAGTATTGCAGTGAGCACTGAAAATCATACTCAAGTCCTTGCCATTAGGGTCGCATTTCCAATGCTTGAAATCATACTCAAGTCTGCACAAATCCTGACTTGAGCATTGAGTACAGTTCTGGAATACGACCCTGAGGCTTGATAGTCACGTTGTGAATCGGAACTATAGTCTAGTGTCAACTGTTAGTATCGCCAAGAAGCATATAGGCGCTGTTATAATTTTACGGACATCGCGTATTTTTATTTAACGAAATATTATTTACTTTGTGCTATTAATTAAAAAATAAATAAAATATTGAAGAGATATATGTAAATAAATAAGTTCAACTTCACTTTTAATCATTGCAAATCAATATTAAGACAATAAAACTGAAAATAATATTGTTTCCATTGCATCCGTGTAACTATTTTTAGATGGCTAAATTTGACATAAGAGCAATATTACTTTAATGTTAAAGTCGTGTCATAGTACGAACTGAGTGAATGAACAGTCACAAAGCTGCCAATAAAATCATCAATTATTTAACATTACAATAAGTTTATATTAAGCGCGTTATGGTACGAAAAGTCAATGTAAGATTAAAGTAATATTGTTTTAAGAGGTTGTGGTAGGCCTCCTGAATTCTACTCAATGCTCAGACTTGAGTGTGATTTCTAGTGCTTGAGGTATCAATACTTTAGTCCTGCAGATTTTCCCTACTTAAAGGCAGAATAAAACACAGGAATGTGTCTTTTTTTATTGATTTATGATTTTTAATGGAAACGAATAATAAAAGAATTTGATTAATTCAATTAATCGTTATTTCACATAATTTGTGTTATTACATTTCCAATGTCCCACTCCCGTCTGTACAATCGCTTAAAACCAAAAATCTGTTTGGTAACGGCCTGTTTCTCGTTTTTGATACTGTATTGCCTTAGAATAATAACGCATAGAATGATAGTTTCATATCAAACGAACTGTCACAAGTGAGGCAAAAACCAAATTCATGTAGGCGTAAGCAACTTGTAACTACGCTCGTCGGCACGCACACAAATATACAAATAATGATGCCATGGAATAACATTTCCCTCAAAAGTGGGGAAATTGTATCTTGCTTAACTCATCATTAAGTTAAAGGTGCCTACAGATTTGCCCGACATTGTCGATCAGGTGCCTACAGATATGCTCGGTTTTGTCGATGAAAAACGAATATAGCACTTATTTGTAAATCCAAGATGGCGGACACGATTTTTCAAAATATGCTATATGGGTATCCTTTTCGAGGTATTTGGGGATGCTCATTACGAATATGGCACTCATTTCTAAATCCAAGATGGCGGACACGAGTTTTGAAATAAATGCAATATGGGTATCATTTTCGAGGTACTTGGGGGTGCTCATGACGAATATGGCACTCATTTCTACATCCAAGATGGCGGGCACGATTTTTCAAAAAAATGCAATATGGGTATCATTTTCGAGGTATTTGGGGATGCTCATTACGAATATGGTACTCATTTCTAAATCCAAGATGGCGGGCACGATTTTTTCAAAAAAATGCAATATGGGTATCATTTTCGAGGTATTTGGGGATGCTCATTACGAATATGGCACTCATTTCTAAATCCAAAATGGCGGACACAAGTTTTCAAATAAATGCAATATGGGTATCATTTTCGAGGTACTTGGGGGTGCTCATTACGAATATGGCACTCATTTGTAAATCCAAGATGGCGGGCACGATTTTTTCAAAAAAATGCTATGTGGGTATCATTTTCGAGGTATTTGGGGATGCTCAATGTGAATATGGCACTATTTGTAAATCCAAGATGGCGGGCACGATTTTTCAAATAATGGCAAGTTGGGTATCGTTTTCGAGGTATTTGGGGGTGCTCATTACGAATATTGCTTTTGTTTGAACTGTCGTGTTTGCCATCTTGGATTTAGAAATGAGTCCCATATTTGTATTGAACATTCCCAAACATCTCGAAAACGATACCCAACTTGCCATTATTCGAAAAATCGCGCCCGCCATCTTGGATTTAGAAATAAGTGCCATATTCGAAACCTAAAACCGAAAATGCCATAAGCAAACATTAAAGAAAATAACTGTTAAAATAGATTAAAAAATCGCTTAAGAATGCTCCCCTTTTAAGAAAATAAAATATTTTAATATAAAATATTTCGCTTGAGTTACGAAAAGAAAGACATATAATAAGCTATCAAAGTTGTACTGGTGGTGCCAACACTATAGTAGAAACAAATATATACTGTAAATTTGTTGCAATATGTGCTCCAATTCAAATAAAATTAATATAAATAATTATTCAATAAAGCATGAACGCAGAGCCGTTAAAAGTATTATAAAATAATTAAGTGTCCCAATCACTTACAGGAGTTAACGAAAACATTTAATGTTTATTCGAGTAAATATTAGTTCAAAATGCGCAAATAAATCGAAATTACAGGCACCACTAAAATTTACGTAATATAATTATTTTGATACAGAATAGCAAAATGGGGAGAAAAAAATTTCGATACTTTGCAACACTTTCGTATCTTGTTGCCGCGAAATTATTTTTCTGTTTTAGTGAATATTTACATAAAAATATGAGTTGAAACGCATTACTTACTTGTGGAATGCGATGTTAGTGTCTATTTTGTTTGTCTGTTGTATTTTTACACCCATTTACCGCACATTTCGTCATTTTTAGCAAAAAATTTTGGAGCTGTTCGCGGTGCAATATGACCTTGAGCACTAACAGCCCGCGCGCTCCTGGGACGCGTTTGGCACCCTCTAACTTGCCTCACTTAGCGTGTGCGGGCTAGGTTTCTATGCGTTATTATTCTAAGCTGTATTGCCTACTTTTGAGAACAAACCGATGTCGGAAAGCGATCTTGTCGTATCTCGAAAAATAGAACTTTACACCAGGGCCGAAAAACTATTTGAAAAAATTATTTCTCTTTAATTTGAATTAGTAGAAAGGCAATTTTAAAGTATCGAAGCTTTTCCGTGTCCCTAAAGAGAATTTTTTTTTTATTTATTAAGGCTTTGGCAAAGCCATGAGCCTAAACATGAAGTTTAATTATGTTTCTGTAAATATGGCCGCCACAAAGAGGATAGGCAATTTGAGGCGACGTGGTTGGATTGACTCGGGATTCGGGTCGATACGGGTATTCTAGTTCGAGATTCGTATAATTTCGCGTTTTAATCTTCGATTCGATCCTATTGGATAGTGCTATTGTGCCTTAATTAAAATTAAAGTAAAATGATAGCCTAGCGTAAAATTATAGTGGAATGCCACTTTTAACTAGATTTCACAAAATAATTGAAACTCAAAATAAAAACGACACTTTTCCCTCCAAAAGGTCCAGACCGAATCCCTTCCTAAAGAGATGCTTTGCTTAGACCATAGATCATAGACTTTAGACCACAAATTACAAAGATTGCATACATAGACCGTGCCATAGATCATACAATAAATTTGAGGACAGTGCAAAGACATGTAGTATCTCCTTAGTTTGTGACAGACATTTCTTGAATTGAATGTTTTGGATTTTATAGCTAAACTACATATTAACCATTCGAGTTAACCACGAGAGAACCATTTGTGTTAGCAAATAATACGATTTTATATCATGCCGGGAGTTGAGAGTGACGAAGACTACATCATCGCCAGGGCCAAGGAAGCTCAAAAACACAACATACATTCTGCTAAGGCATGGATGCTTACTGCCAAAACTTTATTTCCAACCAATTTCAAAATTCAGTTTGAAGCATATCTAATGGAAAAACAATACGGCAACGTGCAAGAAGCAGCAGAGTGTTTCAGTTCATTAATGTTATCACGGCAAAATCTATCGGATCTTTTGCCCGAAATATCGGCTATTGCCAACGCTCTTAAGTCAAATGAAACAAGCTTTTTGAGTCAAATGTTTGATAACATAGTTCCTGACATACAATTAACTATTCTGAAGACTAGTGTTGAAAACAGTGATGACACTATGGAATATTGTCGCCTTCTTGTTTTACTTTTAAAGAAGTTCCCTCAACTCGGTGTAGATAGCCTGGTAAAGACTCTAATTAAAGCAGAAAAGTTTTTCTACGACAATAGATATGCCCGTTTATTGGTAGTTGAAACTTTACCGCTACTAAGCTCTTTAGAATCTCCTAGGTTGCTTCAACGTCTATTAGTCGAAGCAATTGACTTTTACAATTCATATGTTTATGATGAAACTGAACATGATATACCAGATCCTTGGCAAAGACTTTATGGAGTTTTAGACTTGTTGGGCAGGCAACTGGGATGGGATTCATTTTTGGTTAATTACAATAATAGTTTGAATAAAGAAGCATACTTCCAAAAGTTACTAGCATTGAGGGGTTGTGAAGATTGTCGCCAATTATTATATTGTGGTACTACCTTTTTCTTGAGATGTCTATATGAGCAGAGATCATTAAAAGGAAACCACATTCTAATCGAAGCATTGTCAGACCCAGAGCAGCCACCTTCAAAAAGGAAGAAAGGTGATATAGAAGTGACAGGCGTATCGGCGCACCAATTCCAGGCAGCAGCAAATTGCTGGGAGCTATTACATACTAATGAAGTGACATCCAGGGAGTTCATGAAATTATCTAACCAATTACAAGTCAAACCTTGGTCTGAAGGTTTTGCAGATGAGTTAGCATTGTATCGTGGGAGATATGATGATGCAATGCCTCATCCTACAATGACCAACCTTGCAGCAAACATTGTAAGAGTGTCAATAAACTATTTTCGAAAAAATTACACAGCATGTGTGGAAAATATCCTGGCAGCATTGCCACAATTACCAACTGTTGAAGGAGTGCTGGAAAGCGAGCTCATAGTAGGAGGAAAACATAGACACTTACACTTCCTTCCAATGACAAAAGTTGCTATCATGCATTACTTTTGCACATTACTCATCAGGATATTGTTGAATACTGGAAATAATTCTGACTTGACATATGGTCATATATTAGTGTTAATTCAATTGGGCTGGCCACAAGAGGAGGCTGTATTTATACAAATATTGGACTACATTAAACAGAAAAATGTTTTTCATTATCATCTGTTTACAGCTTACATCATACACATTGATATATTGGAAGAACTTAGCTTTTTATGGAATGAACAAGGTAATAATGTTGCCTTAGACATTTTGCCCAATTCTCAACAACACTTGGGACAACGAAGGATTGGTACTAGAGGAGCTGACAAAGGAGTCAAGGAAGACTTCAGACAAGCAATGAAAGCTCAAGTATCCAGGAGTAATGAATCTATATTGAATTTAATTATCCAATTCATAAACTCAGAAAGGTCTTATTTTCTAATGATAAGATAAATAAAATGAATGTTAATAATCTTAATAGAATATAAAGTTTATTTTAAATGTTATCTGAATTAAACTCATCCCTGTAACAGTAAAGTTGTTTAAAATAAAATTAAGAACTGCCTTCGTATGAGCCCACAGCTAGCAAGAGATTGCGTCGGGTAAAGTGTAGGCTTTTTACAGGCGAATTTTTAGTAGCAAATGAACGCAATAAGAATTTGTCATCCTTTTGTGCAGTGCTGGAATTTCCATTTTCTTCATTAGTAGCTTCATCAGTTATTGCTGTGAAGTCCCATAGTTTAATTGTGCAGTCCAGAGAGCCTGAAAAAAGCAATATTATTTGGTACCTTCTGTTACTTTTTTGCATAAGTTTATCATTTGAACTTACCTGAAGACAGAATAGTACCATCTCTGCTGAATGCCAGAGCATGGATGGAGGCAGTATGTGCAGGAGGCAAAGCAGCGGCAGGGGAGCCTGTTGCTATATCCCATATCATAAGCTCTCCGCAAGCGCCAGCTGAGGCTAGCCAACGTCCACACACTGAGAATGCAACAGTGAACACAGATTGCTGAAAAGCAATTTTAAATTTTGGTTATTCAAAAAACAATTATAACCACTATTCTATAATATTCTGTAACTAGCTCCTATCTATATAGGAGCTAGTTACAGGTTTTTACCAATGTACAACAATCATAATAATTACATGGTTAGGTTTGAAGTGAGAATGAAATTAATGTGGTGTTTCACAAAAAAAATTGTTAAGACTAAGATGCTGAAACTAGGTTAGGTAGTTATATCCATATAATTATCCACTACCACTTGCCAGTGAAGCAGAGAATAAAAAAGTAACGAGAAAGGCCACTCCGCCCCTTCCTAGCTTTAGATACCACACCAAGCCCCTCATATTGACGGTCACATTGACGTTTTGATGTTTAAACTTGAGTTTAAACATATTTATTTATTATTTTATTGTGCAATGGTTGTGAATTGTGACATCTACGGCTGTTTATTCACCTAAATGGGATAAACAGAGTTTATTTCGTTTAAAAACCTGTTTAACAAACTTTAAAAAAGGAGGAGGTTCTCAATTCAACTATTATTTTTATACGTATGTTACGCGATTACCTACTACGGCATTTGTGAAGCGATTTTGATGATTCTTTTTTTGCTGGAAAGAGGGTACCTCAGTACCTAGGTTTTAGTTAATAGAAAAGTTATAATTATTATAAACCACCGTCAGAAAGATACATGTTACTCACCCAGAAACCCTTTACCTATATAGTTATTATCTAAGATATCGAATTTTCAATACACCTAATGCGATTTCTTAACAGATTTTTTAGAGATAAGACATTTGAAATAAAATATTTTAGTGTAGGTAATTAATGGTAGTGTTACTCACTTCAATATTAAGTCTAAAGTTAAGTCAACTCAAAGAATCATTTATTACAAAGGTAAAATAAATTTACACTTGAAAACCTCGTTTCAGCTACTGCTCGTTTACTAAGCTGACTTACGAAGAAGAACGAGCATAAAACTCTAGGGATTGCTCTTTTCAAAAGAACTTAAATGCTATGGAATACACTTTGAATCTGAGTGTGGAATCTAAACCCATGTCGTCTTTCCATACATCTTTTAACTAACACGTAGTCTTTAATTTTGTACTATGACTTTTTAAGTACGTGAGGCGCACTATAAGTTTCCGGAATGAATAAGAAAAAAATACTATAAATGGTCAGTAATTAATTTACATACTCTTCGACAGCCTCTTCAGGTGATGAAAATCGTTGACCGCGTAACTGGTTCTTAATTTTTGGAAATAAATAAGTCACAAGGTGTCAGGTCTGGACTGTACGCGGGATGGTTCATAAGGTCAACCAAAGTCAATCAAAGGTTGTCTGTATGGCCGTGTGAGAACTGGCATTATTGTGGTGCAAGATGATACGGCGTTTACGGTTATTTTTACGGAATTTTTCAATAACTTCCGGCAAACAAATGGTCGTGTACCAATTACTATTCACGGTACAACAATTCTCCAAAGCAGCCTTTCCCAAAGTGGGCGATAACGCCCCTTGTGGGCGCTGCAGGCCTAAAGGGAGGCGGTAAGAGACCCAGAAAAAAAAAATGGGGGCGTTGTGTAGAGGCTTAGGGGGAGATTTGTAATTTCATCTAGGAAGACTCTTAGGGCAGTTAGATATATTGAAATCAGAGTTAGTTGAATTAAATTAAAAATTTATTGTAGTCTTAAACGAAAGACTGTGATAAGGGATCTGGGTGTCATCCATGATTCGAAGCCGATTTTTGATGCTTATATTGATGATATTGTCTCCAGGGCTACTAAGGCTCTTGGATTCATAATGCGTAACTCAGTTTGTTTTTCAAACCCAAAAACTCTACGGATACTATATTGTACATATGTTCGTAGTAAGTTAGAATATGCCTCCCAAGTTTGGAATCCGATGTACCAGGTCTATATTGACAGAGTAGAACGAGTTCAAAATAAATTTATTAAATTCTTGTGTTATAAAATGGGTGAGTCTTATAATTCATTGGGTTACTTGCGTCTCTGTAAAGATCAGCGTCTATTACCATTATATGATCGCAGAAAAATCTGTGATATAATGTATCTTTTAAATATTATAAACGGCAAGGTTGATTGTATTGACTTATTGGGTGAACTCTCATTTAATGTTCCAACACGTTCCATGAGACACTACCACCCTCTTGTAGTTCCCATAGCGAGGACAAACTATAGACAGAATAGTTTTATATGTAGAGCTAGTAGGAGTTTAAATGGTGTGCTAAGTGACTATGACCTGGATGTAGATATATTTAATTGTAACATCGATGCACTAAAACGTAAAATAACAGATATATTAATTAATTTAATTGAATAACATGTGGTTGTTGACGCACGTATGGGATTGCTGTATTTATTAGTCCAATGCTCGTGTTTAACTAACTTGTAGCTATAAGTGAAAACCTGTAATTGGCTTTATGTTTTTATTGCTGTTTCTTACTAAATATATACAGCTGTTGGTTTTCCATGAATAAATAAATAAATAAATAAAAAGTTCACCTGCCATGAATGAATATGATCTTAATGTGAACAAAAGGCGTGGAGCTTTCTCCAGATGTTACGATTACAATAGTGGCCCAGTAGGACTATCACCAATGTGTAATAAGGACATAAATGCACAGGAATTCGACTCCTTAGTGTCAAATTACAATACTTGTAATAATGAAATTGAGTATCGAGACATCGTTCAACCGCAATTCATAAATGGTGCATCGATAGCGGCATTATCTAGTTTACGAAATAGCAAAATTGTTGAGTTCGTTGAGAATATAACTGCTGTGAGGATAAGCGACGAGAGCCCGCGCGCTAGCGCAGCGATGACTCACTCCACCGACTCCGCGGAACAGTTGACCGTTGTGTCTAGCGCTGCGTCAGCGCCTTTACAATCCGCTGCCGCAATTCAAATTCCAAAACAAAAATCGCTAGCTGAAATTGCGCGAGGAGAATGGAAACAGCAAAAACAGGACGATGTATGGACATTAGTACAAAGGAAAAAACTAAGGAATCGTTTTGTAGGTCAGAGAGGAAACACTATCCTAGAAGCCGAGGAAAAGTTTAAGGCCTCCGACATTAAAACACCCATTTACATCTATAATGTTGCGAAGGAGGTATCAACAAATGATATCTTGAATTATGTAAAAATAAATCTTATTTGAGTGTAAATAAGGAACAAATGAATATGAAAATAGCTAAAAATTACAACGCGTTTAAAATATTTAATTAAACCAAAACATAAAATTGAATTATTTTTAAAGAGCGATTTTTGGCCAGAGGAAGTTGCCTACCGGCGTTTCTTTCAGTTCATACAAAAGAAGGCTCGCAAGGTTGTTAGTGTAGACTTAAAGGACACACAAAATTAGTAATACGACGGCATTTATATCTTTTAATTGTAAGAACGTGAAGAGATCGGTTGCATGTATACGAGGGTTGTGTCGAGCGGCTGATGTGATCGCGCTGCGCAGGTCTCCTACCTGGTCGTTGCCTCACGACTTGTCGTATTTAGAAAACATAGATGACAGCTTTGCCGCAACTGGTACTTCTGCGGTCGACACTTCGGTTGGCGTGCTGCGAGGAATGCCACACGACGGAGTGGCTCTGCTATGGAGAAAGAGCCTTTTCCAAACAGTGTCGGTAATTAAGTGCAACAATGTTCGCCTCGCCGGTATAAAGGTACAGTCTAATAATAACCGTTACTCTTTAATATTTACGGTATACATGCCGACTGACTCTAATGATAATTTAATTGAATTTATTGAATGCCTAAGTGAAATAAGTGCAATTATTGCGACTCACAATGTCGAATCAGTGTTTATTTTGGGTGATTACAACGCGCATCCGGGTGAACTATTTGCTTCTGAACTATTTAATTTCTGTAACGAACAGTCATGGTGTTGTGTTGACTACGATTTATTACCCCATGACACGTTCACTTTTGTGAGCGAGGCGCACGGGTGCCGCAGGTGGCTCGATCACTGTGTTGTGACCAGCGCAGCACGACAAACAATACACAGCGCGTCAGTGCTATATAACACCTATTGGTCCGATCACTACCCCCTTCGTATAGTATGTAATTTAAACCTTATAAGACCCTTAATTGTTGCACCAACACCTTGTAATAATGGAATAATATCGGGTGAACGTGATTCTGTTCAAATTGAAAAATATCACCAAATATGTAATACTAAATTATGCGAGATTAATCTTCCTTCTGAATTCGGTAATTGTTGCGATAAAAAGTGTGTTGATAGCACTCATTTGTTATTGCTGAAAGACATGTATAAAAATATTGTAGATATATATTAACGGAGGCATCAGAGAGTAGTTATAATGTGAGGGTCGGCAGATGTGGCGGGTACATAGCGGGGTGGAATAAACACGTCCGGGACGCTCACGGGAGGGCTAGGATTTGCTTTCAAACCTGGGTATTATTCGGTAAACCTTCCTCAGGTCCTGTTTATGATAATATGTCTAAATCTAGTCAAGTTTTTAAAACAAAGCTAAAATGGTATCAAAACAATAAAGAACAAATTAAAATGGATATACTCGTCATTGCGGAACATCATTCGAATAAATCCTTTACAAAATTTTGGAAAACAACCAATAAACTAAACCACAAGTCTAGTCTCCCCGTGAGTGTAGCGGGTTTGCATGATCCTATAGCAATAGCCAATCTATTTCAAGGCCACTTTAGGGTCGCGTCTCCGTTAAATTCCGCAACCCAGGTGGTTAGTGCTGAGGAGAGTTCGCACGTGCATAGCGTCTCATTCTCTCCACATGAGGTGGCTTCAGTCATTAAGAAAATGGTAAGAGGTAAATCGCCATCACGGTCATGACGGCCTCAGCATTGAGCACCTGCAACATGCTGGATTTCACTTGCCTCGGGTACTTGCTATGTTTTTTACTCTATGCCTCAGTCACAGTTATTTGCCTGACCACCTCATGCAAACATTAGTGGTGCCGATTGTAAAAGACAACACCGGTGATTCATT